GCTTCACAAATCAACAGTTTGACACAAAAAAAAGATCCATAATATAGCTACTTGATAAATTAACTATTCAATGCAATAACAAAAACAATATTAAGGTTAGAGCTAACCTGCAATGCTACTCTCAAAACCAATTGTTCATCTCCTGTCTTGAATCTCATGCCTCCCACTCCTCCGTAATGATCACTCGGCATCAATTGTTGTGAATTAACAACAGTATTTCCAAGTGCTGGAGACCGTTTCATGGGCGCAGCGTAATTAGTATTGCTAACCACTGAAGAGCGACTTGAGGGTGCAGGATGACTGATATGTTCAATAATACATACATCAACGTCATCGTCTGCAGCAGATTTGTCAGAGAAGTTACTATGAATTGATTCAGGGCTGACTTTCGAAGGATGCATGCTCTTAGAATGAGTGACTATATCCTTCATGTAACCCTGACTCTTGCATGAAGTGAATGACTGAGCACCTCGAGAATAGGCATTTGAATTCACAGATTGTCCATCAACAGGGGATGTGGAACTTCCATGCTTAATGTCTTGAGAATGACAAGCTCTCTTACATGCACCAATCGTGACTTCTTCATTATCCAATGAGTTACCAAGATTCTGTGTTGATATACCAAAACCAGACTGCTTGAAGTTTTTCTCAAAAAAGTGATCATCAGCACTAAAAGAAGACTGTGTACTGACAGCTTCATCCATGCCTCGGAAAGAATGACACATAACACTACTTGGAGCAACAATCTCATCATTCTTTTCATCCTTCACACCAATACTTATCTTTTTGCTTGACATGTATGTCTGAGTAGAACTCAAAGGCTCAACTGATGCCTTATTGTCAACGGGAAAAGAGTCAGCATCGAATGAAGAATTTCCACTGATTGCTGACATACAATTACCATATCTCATATTCCACTCCTTTCCATCAAAAACATCAATCATTGACGGCTCAAAACCAGATCTACCAGTTATCACCTCCTGACCATTTAAATTCATCTTGCTAGTTGAGCATGAACTATCAGCTGGAAACTCCCCTGATTCATCCTTCACATTAGCCATCATTTCTTCATTACTCAGAAAATAATAACTCGTAGGACTATGATGCATTAAGACATCAGTGAAATATGTATTATCTAAGCTCATGCCACACATAGCAGTATAAGGGTCACAGTCACTGAAAACATCAGAATTTTGACAGAGAGTAGAGGATATTTCCATAGAAGTGCAGGAATTATTTTCAGATGGCCCTAAGGTTTCCATGGTATTTTGTCCCAAAGTGAAATACGTTCTGGAACGTAAGCCCATGTTCTCGATATCAAGGCACTGCGAAGCATCTGCAATCAATCATCAGAAGACATAAATTTGTGCTTCCACCTCAAAATTTAAAAACAATACAAAACACATATGCAATGATCTACATCAATAACTTCAAAAGCCCAGAAAAAAAAAATGCAATTCTCTAGTCGATAGCCAATATGAAATATTAACATACATTCAGATTCAGCTTTCCCTGGCACATCACCTTCCCTCTGCAGGACATTCAGATCTCCGTGGTCCAAAACATGGTTGGCATGCCCTTCAGAAAAACTAGATGACATACCACATGGCTGTGAAACTGCAACCCTCTCTGTAAAGCAAGTCTCATCGCTTGGAACCAAGGAAAACCTGTCTTTAAGACTCGTAGAGTATGTATGCCCAAGAGAACCAGTGTTTGCTGATGGTTGCATTTCTTTGTAATCAAAATTCATTTCATGGTTCCCTTCATAATCAAAAGAGCCATCAGGACCCCCTGCCCCAGAGTGCAAAGCTTCAGAGCTGTATGGATGATTCCACGCGCCTGGACCCATTAAATCAGTTTCTATTGGTGGTTCTTCTTTTACTGCTTGGGATCCTAAACAATCAACAGAGAAATAAGCAATCAGATGCGGTCAAACACATATGTTGCCAATATAGAATCATAGATGTTCCACAATACCACAACAATATAGAAGGTAACGATGCCCTACTACAAAACAAAGTTGAGAAAACTATGTCATATATGGGAGAAACAATAAAACATTAAAAAAGCTATAAAGTCAAAACAAAATACTAACCACTTAGGAGCTGAGCATAGGAAACTTCTTCAGCGTCCAATTGATTTTCCAATGACAATTCCTCTGGACAACTCTGCAGTTAATACTCAAAAGTTCAGCATTAAAGAAAAACGGTGGGGTTAATAAATAATAGAGCAAAACAAGAACACGAAAAAGGAAGACATCTATAAGTCTTGTCTAAATTCCGCGTCAACAAAAAAGTGCTCAACGAAATGCTCGAAGGTCTAGGTAATTAAATGTAGCAATAAAAAAGAACAAGAAGGGCATGTGTGAATTTATCTACAACAACAAAACGACGTGTGAATATGCTCATAAACCCCTTTGGTGCTTCCCCTTAGTAAACCCATTTCTACTAGTAATTTAAGCAGACAAAATCTTTGAAATTCGATCATTCTTATCCACAACACAATGATTTTTTTTTCACTAGTAACCAGCTGAGATTAAGTGTTTCCACTAGAATTGCATGCAAATCCTTCAGCATGCACAAACACATACACGTACAGACTACAAGCTCAATCTCAAGTCGCACCCAATGGAATCGAAAACCCACTCCCGCAGGAATCCCAAAACCCCCACAAGATTGCCATATCTTTCACACCGCAGCCAAACATTGCAAAAAATCAAAGCTCCCAACACAAACTGCAAACAAGTTCAATCCTTTCCTATACAGTTGTAGTACCAAAAATTACCGTGGGTTCTTCATCGAGAAGGCGATAGAGCGTGTCGACATCTATGCACATCTCGTCGTCCTCGTCAAATTCCTCTCCTGCAAATCCATCGACGGCCGGTAACTCTCCCCAATTCGAGCAGTCCTTCGCCTTCAACATACTGTGAAACCCTAACCCCTTACCCTAGCTTGCTCGCACCTTAACGAAAAATCCCTAACGAGAACCAGAAGCAGTCAAATTACACTCGGAATTCCGAAACGAAAACCTGGATCCGAGCAATTGCAATCGCATTCTCAACGAAGCCGCCGAGAAAATCCAAAGAAATCGAGCGCGCAGAGAGAGAGAGAGAGAGAGAGAGAGAGAGAGAGAGAGAGGGGCGGCGTTTGGATCGTTGTCGATGTGAAGGCGTCTGAGAAAGTTCGCAAGGCGACTTTTGGTTTTATTACTTTTTTTATTTTTTTATTTATTTTGCTTTTCGTCGACAAAGTCTCGCGCGGATCGTGAAGAATGCGGTGGCGCAGGTTTAGATTGGGTTTTGGGGATTTGGATAGGAGGGGTGCGCAGGTTAACGACTCGTTCCCTCTCCTTGTCTTTTTTTTTATTTTTTGCTTTTTTTTGGATTTCGTCGGAGACTTGTTGGTTCGTATACATATTTCGCCGTCGTTTGGTTTTCCTGCTTGAACTAGGAATTTGGGGGGATTTTAATTTATTTTTGGTAAATGATTTTGATTTGATTATTCGCAGAGGTGACGATGTTTTTTTTTTTTTTTTTTTACAATGGGCATAAGCATGAAAGAAAAAGAAAGATTATATGAAAATTCAAAATATCACGTGATCATAAAACTTTAGTTATATCTACAACTAGTAACCGACAATAAAAAAGAGAAGCATGTTCAAAAAATACTGATAAAAAACAAACCCACAATGGTGCTCACTTGTCCTACTTGCTAAGGTACTATACAAGATTGCCAAAACCTAATTTGTTTTCTTTACAAATAAATTTCATACTGGAAATAGAGGTTTGAACTAAATCACACAATGAATTTATTATAAATTGAACTTGAGGTAAGTGGAGTTAAATATGAAACCCCGAAAATGTTACAATAATTTAAAGAAATAAGGGGTTTCAAATTCGGTACGCATGGATAAAAACTCAATATCCTATCTACTAAGATATTGAACCACATCCTATTAATGGGGTGATGAGTTTCTATACATGTATCGTGCGTTTGAAACTCCTTCATCTAAATTATTGTAGTTGTTCCGAACTTTTTATTTCTCTAATAATAATAAAATTAAAATTAAAAAAATTAAGTGGGACTGGTAATTCGCACCTTGTGGTGTACACTGGCAACCGGCCAAATCCATCCAATGCGTACAAGTCGAGAAGTTTAATAGGCGGAAAGTACCGATTATACCAACATGTCCGCTTTCGCGCCACTAATGTTGTACCTGCTTCTCTTACACTTTCGGAATTTTCTCGTTCTTTTATTACTTGGGGATTTTTTTATTTTTTTAAAACAAACGATATTATCTATGGTAAAAGAGATGAGGTGGGTTTAACCTTTTAATGGACTAGTAATAATGCGAATTAAATTCGTCTTTGGCAATAATTGAACCTAAAATATCACACTTACAAATGAAAATGAATACTACCAGACCGTAATACTAAGTGGTATTGAGGGTCATTTTAAATTGGAACTCGTTTTTAATTATTTGATTGGGGTCTTATTTGGCTGGTGACTGCTAATATGTTTAGTAATTCAACAAACATGTGAAAATTGTAGTTGGGAAAAAAAGGTTGATGATCCAACAAAGAAAAGTAAAAAATGGAAGTGTAGATATCGCTTCATCAAATTGGTTAAGGTCGTGTGCTTCTTTTTTTGGATTGAGTTCAAATCAGCTTATTCGCAAGAGTTTCAAGACCACTTCGTTGATGAAATTTTCTTTCGAGAGCAGCAATCGAGAATCTGCATAAGCAGAACTCAGGCAACTAAAACTTCATAGTACGGTCTATTTGAAGGTAGTTTAAAATGGCTACGAGTTTTTATGATAACGTTTAATAGAAAAACTTGAAAATACGAATACAAAAAGAATTTCATTACTCTAGCCTCCAATACTTTTAAACTATTAGTACAAATTTATAACACTTCAAACAATCGTTTATGAGGAAAAGTGTTTTACGTAGAAATAGACGAGCCGTCCTCTTCGTGAACATTCTTTGTTCTCAAGCCCTTCGTTATGAGCTCGTCTGTAGATCAAGATGTAGCCGAAAACTAAAGCCCAAACTCGATTCGGGTTAAAACCCAACGGTTCCGTGAAAGATTTGAGTGCATGTTCACGTGACACGTCAAAATTCAACCCAAAACCCGACCCGCTCAAGGTCAGGGCCCAATTAAGGGAACCCGAGAACACTAGCCAGAGTGAAGGGTCAGAGAGCAGCGAGAAGAAAGGGATCGCCGGAATCCCAATCCCTCACGCACACTCACACCCAAATTCCGAACCAATATACATATACAGACGCAATCGTCGCAAACCCAGCTACCCAGCAAACCCAGCACGCTTCGAAGGTACCCTTTTACTTCACTATAATTTTCTCGGCAGACAAACACTTGTCTTGGATTAGAATTTTCTCGGGAAAATTATCACTCGGCTACAGTTATAGGGTTTTTGGCGAGTCTAGGGGTTCTTGTTGCGATTTGAATCGGTGTTCAACAATTTTTCAGGACAATTTGAAGGAAAGTAGTTGCTGGAGTTGAATAAATGGGCTTCGAGGCCGTGCACTGATGTCCCTGTTCTGGATTGTTGTTCATCAGCTTGCAGAGATCGAAGCAATGGTAAAGTTGAAATCTTGCTATCGATTCTAATTGATCTGTTTTAGCTGCTTAATTTCGAGTTTATAGAACGCGATTACGATGTTGATTTGAGGTTGAATGTGCAGTAATTAGGTCAATAAGCATTACCATCGGCATGTTAAATCTGTATATAATTTGTATTTTTGTGCATAGGCCGCGTCGAAGAAAGTCATAACGAGGGAAGAGTGGGAGAAGAAGCTCAAGGATGTAAAAATTAGGAAAGAAGACATGAATAAATTGGTGATGAACTTTCTTGTCACTGAGGGTTATGTGGATGCTGCTGAGAAATTCCGTATGGAATCTGGAACCGAACGTATCCTTTTGTTTCCGTAGTGTAATGGCCTACTCTTATAATTGGGACATTGCTGGTGTGATTCATTTTGTACTATATGTTGTTGTGTTTCTCCTTATGGGTAAATAGCAGATATTGATCTTGCAACAATAACGGAACGCATGGCTGTCAAGAAGGCAGTACAATGCGGTAATGTGGAGGATGCGATCGAGAAAGTGAATGACTTAAACCCTGAGGTGGGATGTCAATTCTCAAATTTCAATGTTTTGTTCATGGAGTCTATACTTTTGATACCATTGATGAAAAAATTTTGTCTTTTCTTTCCTTTGATAGAATCTTATTGCTTTATGCCAGTATCAAAGTTTGGCCTTGCATATCAAGTAGGGCAATTAGCTGGAATGATCAGTTTTTAACCTTTGTTTTCAGAAGTGATCGGTTTTTAGTAACAATGACATGTTGATCATATATCGATGACATAATGACCACACATCAATGATATAATGACAACATGGTAAAAACAGATCATTTCTGCAACCAAACGTAAAAAACTGATCATTCTAGCTAATTGCCCTATTAAGTTTGGAAGTATAGTTTGAATAATTGTGACTCATGTGTGTCGTACAAACTATACATAAGGTTAACTGCCTCATTGGAATTCCCTTTGGAATTGAGATTGTATGAATCATTGCTACATATTTTCATAGATTTGTGAATCAGGACATCAGGTTGAATATGCAGCATCATTGGGTATATTATGTAGCGATAAACTCTAACCACAAAGTTGCTGCATTCAACCTTGTAGAGTAAAAATATGCACACAACAAATGCAGACCTGGTATTACATGGGTGGTTTACACTTTACAGTTACTTGTTTTGGTTTGTTTTTCTTGACATGCATGTACTTTAATGTGACATTCATTCATAGGGAGGGTTCGTTTCCTCCTTTATATGATGCTTTATTTTCTTCCTTTATTTTGATCTCTCGTTTATATTAATGATGGGTCACAAGTAGTTTGTCATCTATTCATAGTTCGTATCCTTTGATTTTTTTTTTATTTATCTTTAATGAGCATCCTGTTATTATTTCGATCGTAATCTTTATTAAAATTATTTAAAATATCTGTGCAAATTCCGTCTGCAGATTCTGGATACAAATCCTCAATTATTTTTCCATCTCCAACAGCAAAGGTTGATAGAACTAATTCGGAATGGAAAAGTCGAAGAGGCTCTTGAATTTGCTCAGGAAGAGCTAGCACCAAGGGGAGAAGAAAATGTAAGATTCGGCCCATTGCAACTTTCCTTGATTGACTATCATGTGTGTAATTTGATTATTTATGATTTAAGTTCCTTCTGGCTTCCTCTATAACTCCATCCAACTGAATTGTGTTCACTGTGTTGTTTATGTGCAGCAAAGCTTTTTAGAAGAGTTGGAGAGGACTGTTGCACTGCTAGCTTTTGAAGATGTGAACAACTGTCCCGTTGGAGAGCTTCTCGACATATCACAGCGCCTAAAGACAGCAAGTGAGGTGAATGCAGCCATCCTTACCAGCCAGAGTCATGAAAAAGGTTAGTATGTTTGCTATAGTTTTATTTGTTCTTCCATGAGCATCTTTGAGACGAGAAGATCAGATCTTTGAAAGAACATTTGATTGAGTCTATGCTAAACTATCGTATATTTCGCTGTCCTGTCACAGATCCGAAGCTTCCAAGCTTATTGAAGATGCTGTTATGGGCTCAGAACCAGCTTGATGAAAAAGCCGCTTATCCTCGGATAAACGATCTTTCCACTGCCAAGCTAGAAGACCCTACTGTCTAGATGATCTCCAACCTCCTTGCATGGAGAGATGGAGGATTAGGTTTCGTCTAGGCTTTCTCATGGGATGACAAATGATGTATGTACCTTTATTGCGATAAATGACTCTCCTCTCAGATGCTGTTTCATTGCGATCTTTGATAATTTGTTCTCGATTTTCGTTTGTAGCTTTCTCAACATTTGTACAAATGGTTGTCTATAACATCTCTTTGTTTCTATTGTGGATTAATTCTTTGGCTGTTTAAGGTGTAGCATAAACAAATGATATAATTTAAGGCGACGGAGATTTAAACTTGGGTTGAGTTTTTTCGTCAAGTGATATAATTTAGCACGAGAGAGATTCAAGTTTGGGCACACTGCTCTGACCAATTGGCTTAACCTGGATTCATTCATCGTTTGGACAATGACCATACTTTTTAACAAGCATGGGATTTTTTAACACAACACAAAACTAATTAAAAATAAAAATAGAACATAACAATTTACTTTCCTCCGCCATATTCTTCCAAAAACATCACTCGGAAATCACCCAAAGAATATAAACCCACCCAGAACTGCCGATATCCGAATCCGAACCCGATCCATGCTGAGGTCTAGCAAGTTTGAAAGCAGCATTTGCTCCTCCCTCCCCCGATTTCCAGCTTCCATCGTCGAAATTCAGGGCGTAGCTCGAAGGATCATACTGGAACGTCCTCAGCCGCTGCTTCCCAGAATTCTTGATAGCCTTCCTCAATGCAGCTCTAACTCTCCAGAACAAGCTCCTGCACTGCTTCCTGCTGTATGCATTCACCCAAACCAACTTTCCCACCAACCCCATATTCACAGGTCAAAACCGAGGATTAAGCTCTCTTTTTTCGACTTTTTTTCTGAAGAATTTGAGAGATGGGTTGCAATTTTTCCTTGTGGAAACTGGAAAGGCATAAAAAGGAGGAGAAGGAAGCTTTTGGAGAAAGGTTTAGACGGTGAATGCAACCTTTTTGGTCTTTCAAAGTAGCTATGCAGCTTGAGCTGCAAGCTGCAGTCCTACTACAAACTGATATGCTTTTTCTCTTAAAAGTTACGTTGGGATGCTCAAATTCCGCTCTAGAGAGAGAGAGAGAGAGAGAGAGAGAGAGGAGGTACGGTGGACAGAGGGCAGTGGCAGTGGGCAGTGGGCAGTGGGCAGTGGGCCGAAGGTCGTATCACTATCACGGCAGAATGTGGTTGTTACACATAACGAATCAATTATTTCACGGTTTTTCCTCGGTTTTTACTTTTTTTCCCTATTTGAAGCCATATTACCATCTCCTTTATTAGGAATTTGAGCCCTCTACAGCCCCTAGCAATTAGTGAAGCCTCAACCTTGAGAATTGCTTGCTTATATTTTTCAGTACGACACCACGACATTCTAAACAAATAACACAATTTTATGTGTTTTTAAATAATATTGCAGGAAAACTAATAAAAATTTTTGAAAACATTGAGTTTTAACGATAAGAAAAAAATAAAAGGTAAAGTGAATAGTATCAGGATTGACTTTTTAGTGTAAAAATGTGGATTTTCGTTAAAGTGAACAGTACTAGGAGCTTTTCGTTAAAGTTCTTGAATAATATTACGCTATTAGTCCGACATGTCACAGTAATATATTAAGAGTGTAAGAAACTCTCTTGTCAATCTCAGCATAAAGTCTCAATTTCTTATTAGCAACAAAGAAGAATTATAAGTTTGAAACGACTATTCGAAGTGACAATAACATTTTTTAAAAACCTCGACCGCACGCTTTTTAGACTTACTCTTACATTTCTCTAGATAACAAAAGGATTTAAACTTCTACTCTTTTCATTTGAAAAGGAAAGCCTGATAATTTCAAATCACACGTCCAATGCAAAAGTGCAGAGAGGCTCTGAATTTAGGGTTATTGATTCACAAAATCATCAAGAAAATAATGGACAATGAAAATTTGGCGAAATTCAAACTCCAAAGTGAAAAGAAGAAAAGAAAAAAAAAAAGTACACTGAAGCTCTGCATTGAAGAGTCAAAATTAGAGTTTTTCTTTTTCTCAAAACTGGTTTGTCTCCTTTTCCTTCTTTTTTGTCTTCGTCTTCAAAGCCTTATTGCCTTCTTCCATATGCTCATTAAATTCCGTTTTGTCTCTCTCCACGGTTAATCGCGGCACTTTCCTCAGTCTCTCACTGTGCCTATTGCCACGCTACTCCCAACCAGGTCCATTTCGGATGACCTGTCATTCTATCCCACAGAGCAAACCTTGTCCTAGAGCTTGGCAGCTGTTGGCACCTCTCTGCCTTCTTCTTTATGTAGCTTTCTCTGTTTAGGGTTTTGGTTTTTCTTAGTAAATTTGGATGATTTGGGAGAATAACTTGCATAGAACAGAGTGTTATTGCCGGCAGTGTTACAAGTCAATCACAAAATATTGCATGAGAACATATGTAAGACACTGGAAAGAAATTCTGTATATTGGAGAATGAGAGGAGAAGTCTCGTTTTACATAACATAACGGATGAGAATGAAGAACAGACGAACACCCATGCATCCCGAGCGGAGAGCTAACATGAAGTGGGATGTATTTGAATAAAAGAAGAAACTCAACTGATCAAAGTTAAAACGCATGTAGTTATATATGTTTCTCTAGATGAATGAGATACTGTCGCAGTAGCACTTAAGATGTATTTAAGTCTCTCTCACTAAGTGGAATATTTTGAGTGAAAGTTTTGCCAAATGGCATTTTCTTCAAGTGGGGGCCTCTTTGATGCCATGCCTCAATGATCCTTGGTTAGAGATAAGGTTTCATGGTAGACCTCAAGACAATGGAGATTTTGTCTTGATCAAAGGTTGCATCTTGTAAATTAGGGCTAGGTATATGGGGTTGAAAACAATGTTTGCCAGCCCGAATTATCCATGACAGCGCATATTCAAATCTGTCAGCTCAAAAATTATTTTCATCTTTCTCAGGTATACCTTAACCTGCACTTGCTTCTCGTTTAAGATTTTGCTTTGTGCATTTCTTGATGGTGATCTGATCATGTGCTTTTACAACTTTCCTCCAATCCTGGCCTTCTATTTCCTTTGCTCTATATACCATATTGACAATTCACTCTTTAATAAAAACTGAACCAAACGTCCTTAATAAAAAAACGAACGTCTTGTCCAAAAAATTGATAATTCTCTTGAACAAAATTGCACCCTCGACCATGGATGATTTAGTTGGTCACATGCCTTGGTTACTGTTTGTTTCCCCAATATGTTAAGACTACTTTCTACTGTCTCAAAATCTGCATGATAAAAAAGCAGAGATAAAGTATGAGATCCGGGAGCAAAAATAAATATAGTATTAAGCACTTTTACTTATAAAATTAGAAATTAGTTTCTTGATAAGCAAACCCAAATCTAGAGGGATGATTCTGTGTTTACTTGTTGTGAAAGCAAGGGATGACATATTCCAGAATATGTTCATGGATCATATATTAGGATCTCATGTGGACTTGCCCTACTGAGGCCTTTTTTAAGTGCTCTTTCAGAGTGCTGCTTCATGCATGTTTTTCCTAGAAGCGCTTCTCCCAACCCTTCTGTATAAAAAGTGCTTGTGCTTCTTTTTTTCTATTAAGTATGAATTTATTAGAGATTATATGATATTGTTAGTGATTAAAGGTCAGCAGCCCATGTGTTTAGATCACGGGGGACAAAAATGCTTTGGAGCAACCTACAGCATGGCAAACATTTCAGCAATCAGCATAGATCTGTTGATTGACCAACCACTCAGTGCCATACCAGCAATTCTAAACTAAGTTTGCAAATCTGAACTTTGTCCAATTATGGTAGTTTAGTTCAGATGTAAGGTAGGTTAATTAGATTGTGAATTTGAATTTGATTCTCTTTTTTTTTACATTAGAAACTTCTTACGTTGAACAGTAGGATCAGGTGGACTGTCCAACTTACTTACAAATAAATAGCTATCTGTAGTTAATTAAGAACTGCTTGGCCTGGCGTAGATAAAAACCTCACAGCAAGGGTTACATCCTGTTGTGAGTGAGTTGAAGTGTCTAGTTCCACCATCAGAAACCTTAAATTCTCATAAATTAGAGCAATGTTTTGACTAACGTTGAAATCATTGACCATGATTAAGTCCAGCATCAACTAAGTTAGTGAGTGAGGATAAGCTAAATTCAGATCACCTTCCATCTCTAAAACCCCAAAAAATAAATAATTAAAATCCTCTTGTATTTGAAGAACTCGGTTCCGCTAAGATATTCTCCATGGTATGAAAACATACCTTCAATCGGTACGAATCAAAGTTGTGATTTTTTCTTTGGGAATTTAATATATTAAATCAAATCTATCAGAGGTGTTGGTTAGCTTAAAGACGTTTATACTTTCTACAATTATATGATCTTTTTGCTTTTGTTGTTTTGTAAAAGCTAATTTTTCATTCTTTTTTGTAGAGATCTGAGCTCCCACCATGATTACATAGTTGAACTTGAACTAGTCAGGTGCAAATCCTAAAAATTCCAAAACAGTAGAGACTATAGAAAAAGAAGAAGAAAAACTTGGTTAAAAAAAAGAGTGATCACCACACCACTTCACCATCTACTCTCCCCTCAACATTTTCCATACCACACAAATGGATACAAGCAAACCACATAACCAAAGAAAGTACATAAAATTGGCTAATTTTTTTTCTCTAAAAAAGGGGACAAATTGGTGGTTTCGCAACTACGTACTGTCCACTCTTTTGGAGACTGAGAAGACTCATAGAGGCATTTCAACTTTCCCTAACCATCTTTGTGTAACTCACCAGTGCTAGGACTTGCAGGCCATGTCGTATGGAATACGAACTTGAATTCGTTCCCAACCACTTGAGCCACCCCACGATGGTTCTTAATAATTGGTTAATTAGATATTGTAATTATTGTCCCTGTCACAATTCAATTGACCTCAATCAAAACTATAGCCCAAACAAAACCTAACCATCAGATTAAAGAGTGACTCAACTCCACACTTATTTCTTTAATCTTTGCAATCCGATTCCCCCTTATTTTCTCTTCGAAATCTCCGGAAAACTTGATTATTTTACAAAATCGACAATGGAAGAGACAATAAGCCGCCAAACCACTCTTATCACCTATTCCATCAATCAATACAAGAAACCATAGGTTTTCACATCAACCCTAGTTTCTAGTCGATGTCCTCAAACCACACATTTGTGGTATTCTCCGCTATCTCCATCTTATTTTGCCTTCATCCCTTATATTACATTTCCCATTTGCCAAAACTCAAAACGAACACATACTTACAAACCCTAATAATCTCCTCCCAAGCAAGTCCAATGGGTTCTCTCCCATTTCCACCAAGACCCTCAACTCCACCACCCTCTTCGCCAAACCCTAATTCTCTATCCAAATTTAGGGTTTGTGCCACGTTTTGCTATAGAGAGCCGGCTCCAAACCTAAACATTTCTAATTGGATAGAATGCTACGATCCGTCGACCAACATGTGGACGCATGCCAGCTCCATCCCAGGCCTCACTGAGAATCATGTCCTCAAGGGTTTTGCCATGGTGTCTTTACGTGATTCGGTTTACATAATTGGCGGTAGGGTTTGTAATAAGGAGAGAGCTCACACGTCGGACGAGTGCAGCGAGCTTGTCGACATGGACATTAAAGTCTCCTCCTCGGTCTTGCGCTACAATGTCGGGTCAAACCAGTGGTCTACCTGCGCGCCACTTGGCATCCCCCGGTGCGACTTCGCATGCACGGTCTCAGATAACAAGATCTACGTGGCGGGGGGAAAGGCCACGCTAGATTGCGCGAGGGGCATCCCATTCGCTGAGGTGTACGATCCGGACCACGACGAGTGGACACCGCTGCCGAACATGAGCACGTTGAGGTACAAGTGCGTTGGGGTGACGTGGATGGGCAAGATCTACGTGGTGGGGGGTTTCGCGGAGAAGGCTGACTCGGACGTGCCGGCCATCATGGTGCGCAGCTCCGCTGAGGTGTACGACCCGCTAGTAGGGAAGTGGGGCCTTATCGTGGGGATGTGGCAGCTGGACGTGCCACCTAATCAAATTTTGGCCGTCGATGGACGGCTTTTCAGCTCGGGCGATTGCTACAAGCAATGGAAAGGCCACATAGAATCCTACGACGGCAAGCTCAACATATGGAATGAAGTTGAAGGGTCCCGCCTACAAAGCCTCACTGCATTGGGGCCACACGATCAAAACTGGGCACTGAGCCAAAGGCGTTACCTAACAATGG